AAATTTATTTTGAGACCTATCCCATTTCAAAATGTTCACTCTCCTACCACACCAAATTTACCCTTGGCTAAAGAGATACTACTGGCAGGGCTTAATTTTGACCCAGTGCATCTGCTGTTTGAGAAGAATAATTGTATTTTTGATCAAAAGTAATGCCATCAGAAAAACCAACTTGCCCTCCCCCTGCTTTCCCCCCATGAATTGCTTCTTTCCTGAAGCAGTTATGTGGTGGTTTCCCCCTATATTGGTAATGTTGGTATCCCATTTGAAATGACCATTTTTTGCAAGTCCCTGTGATCTGTCATACTCTTTCTGGACTAGGCATACTCAGTCCCACTCATAAGATCCACAAAAATAGAGTTTCACCTTACTACCTATGCTGACTTCTTGGCTATGTTCACACAACACACTTCACTGGTTCATTTTAATGATTCAGGTGACATGTAAATGTGGCTTCTCCTGTAGCGGTACTTTTTTTAATGTGTGAGCTTCCACATCATGGGCCAGTCTACCTGCATACCTACTACCATTAAGGAGCAGCACTTTAGAAAATAAGGACAGTGCATTGTTTGGTGGTATGTGAGCTCTCTCCCTATCGGCAGAATACACACCACCATTTCTGCAAATTCTGTGGACCTAATTATGAACTTTGAGTTCTGCAAACATCAAAACCCCTTTGGAAGACTGTTAGACCATCCTCATGGACCACAGTTGTCGGCAAAAGGCCCTTCCTGAAGGTAAAGAAGATCTATTGATGTCCAGGAACTGAGTTAACCCTCAAAGATATCTAAATAATTTATGGAATTCTGTGTGGGATGTTATTGAGACAGATGTTTGCCCTACCAGCAGATTTAGACTCCAGTACACAAAGTGACTTGTTACCGTATCTGGTCTTCCAAATTCTGAGTCACTGAACCTCTAGAGATGATATGTTGAGAACCCTGAGAAGGAGCTGGGCCTGGAAATACTCTCAAAATTCCCTTCTTCCTGTGGTGGTATGTAAAATAGGAGGCTTCACAAGTGAAAAAGAGGGAAAATATCACAGGAGAAATAAGGAAGACAAAATCATGGGGTATGTGCCAATTTCCATAGTGCTGTCACTTATTTAAAGCTTTACCGTTTCTACTTTCCTCAAGTTCTTATTATCAGCAGGGGTGCCTACAAAGAGAATGACAAAAAAGTCAAGATGGCAGCCACACCCACATGATGGAAGGCCTACCCTTTTCACATGAGGCTTTGATCATATGGCTGTGGCTGCCATCTTGATTTTTTTGACATATCCCACCCCCACAAACATCCCTGATTGTGAGGATTGTGCTTCCAAAACCATGAACTAGATATTTTGAAAAATCATCTAAAAGTATGTATTTTGTTAAAAAAAGACTAATCAAACATCTTCTCTCCAGTTCTTGAACACTCCCTGTATAGTAGCTTTCTGAGACCTACAGTAGTGTCCAAAAGTGCTCACATGTCCTTTTCCATATTCAGCCGCATAAGAAAACTACACCCCTTAAGGGCAATGCTACACGTTACTTACGTTCTGGCATCAGTGAAAGTATCTATCAGTTGAAAAGGAAAAATCAAGTCTTGGTGGTGATAACAAGGTGATGGAGTCCCAGATACTCCTCCGGATCTGTTTAGCAAACAGTTATAAACATGTAATGTTTCATCCTCTCAACCTAATCTATTTTGCTATCAGAAGGATGACCAATCTGTGGCCCTCCAAATAATGTCTATCTCCAATGGTCAGGGCTAGTGGGAACTTAGGTCAAGATTTGGAGTCACCAACCCTATGGGAACTGATCATGAAGATAGCATGCTTTCATGTTAGGGCTTCATGGAGTTAATAAGGAATGCTTTTCTATAATTAGATGGATGTATATTAAATATATGGCACCTAATAGAGCTCAAAAATATATATTCATTTCTCATTCTATAGCAAAGATTATGCTACATTATGTTTTATGTTTATTCATAAGTCAAACTCCTCTAGTAAAACCTCATCTTAGTAATCATAAATTTCCTGCTTGCTGATTCTGTCCCATATTCTGCTTTTTGCTGAACATCACTAGCAAACAGTCCACATTTCTTCTGGTAGAAAAGAATGTTCATACTAGCTGTTGTTGACTTTTTTCTTTTTTGATGAAATGTGCTTTTCATCATAAAAAGGAAAAAATAAGATGGGGTTCAGTAATTAAAGCTTCGCTTGGAACAAGAATCATTTTGAGAAAATAATTTAGAACTTACTAAACCCCAACCAGCTATTAAGTTCAAAATAGAAGAGAATATGTGTAGCTCAGGGTTGAACTATGGAGTCCTTGGGGTTCTCTGAGCTTGGTTGTTTCCTTGCAAACGTTTTTTTACCTGGCTAGGTAACATTTTCAGTGAAGATATAATTTAATAAAAAATGAATGCACAACAACAACAAAAACTGCTGAAGTCTTATAAAAAAAAAATGCCCTGAATGCCCTCTGAAAAGCCATTCCTGAAGGAGCCAGTTGAACCTCTGGCTTTTCAGTGGGCATTCAGGGCATTTTTTTTTTATAAGACTTCAGCAGTTTTTGTTGTTGTTGTGCATTCATTTTTTATTTGGCTTTTCAGTGGGCATTCAGGGCATTTTTTTTTTATAAGACTTCAGCAGTTTTTGTTGTTGTTGTGCATTCATTTTTTATTAAATTCATTTTTAGGGAGCTTATTATTTTAAACTTTTACTTAATCCATACATGCCTGTATTGTCTTGCAAGTTTTGATGAGACTGAGGAACAAAAAGCAACATATAGATATAAAAAACAAATAAGAAAAATTTTAATTGAAAGCACGGTACTCCCCTGCCTACCCAGCCCCAGCGGGCTGCCACTGCCAATATATTTTTACTTTAAAAAAGAAAATTGCAAGTCAGGTAAAAATAAAAAAAAGACATCTGAGATTACAGAAAAGCCTGGGAATACAGTGGACCTGCAACAACATTTTATGAATTCATAAACAGTGAGTAAAAAATTAATGGTGATTTCATATTTAAATTGTTGCTTCAAAAACAATACAAATGTCATGGAAACACGCTTGAGGACCTTGCAGCATGGCCTGATGCAAAAAGAATCATTGTGCTTTGAGTCTACGGGAGGGAGGGGAGATCACAGGAAGAAAGGTAAGGGAGGGCAAATGTTGAAAGGGGGGGCACGACAGTGTTAGCATATAAATGCTGTGACTGGTGTACTTGTGCTAGATGTTGGGACACAGGTATGTCATCGTGGCACTCATGCGATAAGGTCACTGGGCCCCGGTCATCATTCCAGCATCGCTGCAGTTTGCTGTGGATGCTGCCGGGTCGAGCTTAAGACTGTTGACTCTGGCCAGGGAAATGGCAAATTCACTCCTCCATGAAGTTCAGTGAACAAGCATGAGGTAGCTTTCTCATTCTTTTCAACAGGAATAACGGGGATAAACTGGAATAATCACATAGCCTTGGGTTTTAGTCAGGAAGGGGTTAATGACAATGCAACAAATAATGTGTCTGTATCAAGATTTCATGCCATGCTGCACATGTAGAAATCTGCTCAAGCACCTTCCCCCCGCCCCCCGAAGCCATTTTTTCCTCCCTTCCTCAGTCTCTTGTCCCTCTCTGATATGCTCTGGAGTATCTGCCAACCTTCTGGAACAAACAGAAGGCCCTGCCAAGGGAAAGGGACATAATTCCCCACCCCACCTCACCCCATCCCACCCCAATCTTCTTGGCAGAAAGGGCCCCATCAAAGGAAGATGCTCAGTAGATCCCACACTAAACAAACAGAGCAAATGTGCATTTAAAGACTAAAGCTTCTTTGAGTGCTTAAGAATAAAAATAGGTGTGGTATTAGAGAATCTGCCCCTGTATTACTGATATTTCTTTAAATAAATAGCTTGTAGAGGGAAGTATGTTAGATCAGATTTGTGACAAGAGTGTGTAGTCAGCCTTCAACCAGGGCAGCTGGTATAGCCCAGATAAGATTGCACTCTCCACTATCAACCTTGCCACAAAGTTTGACCTTGCTGACTTTTTGAACATGCTCATAGGAAAAGAAGCTATTGCCTGAGTGCTGGCAGGTGAAGTTTGTTTCTTTGTTTGTTTGCCTGTTTGTATAGTTTGTGAACCACCTGCATTGTCCAAGCAACTCAGGTGATGTACAGCATATTAAAAACAATAAAATAGAAAATCATTAATAGAGGAAAAACCCCACCCTCTCCATGGAGAAAGGAAACACCACAAACACTCAGGAATAATACCCCAATGTCATATTCCCAGTATCAATGTGGTGTTCAGGCTACAACGTGGGGTTACAAAACACCGTGCCTTTGAGCCTGCCGAAAAGGCCACCTTTTAGAGCCTTCCTAAACAACAGACTCTGAGGCTGGGAGCCCTTACACTGCAGGGCAGAAGCAGCCACTCAGCAGAGACATCCTCCAGGGTGACCACTTTCTCAGTAGAGAGTGTAATCCCGTCCCAGGGTTCTTCAGTTACAGTTTATTCAACAAGCCACACTGACCAGGTTCATACATAATACAACACCATACGAAGGCTTAGTACAAACTCCAAACCCAGCCACTGGGTAAAGTTCCCAATTACATGCTTTTATTGACATTTTAATATATTTGTATTGCATCAAACATAAACAGAGAGTAAACAAAGTAACATGATACTGGCAGTGGTAAGTATCTGGGATGTTCTTGGAAGTTCTTGGAGCCTCTTTTGGCCTGGTGATCCCTGCATGGGCAACTCACAGGATCAGTAGAAAAATGGAAAACACATTTGTTTCTCACAACACTTTGGGAGGTCTAAAGACCAAAAATGTTAAACTAGAATGGAAGAGCTGATGGGGGCTACAAGGTCTTTTGACCTAAAACATGGTCCTCAGAGGTATAAGTTAGCAATGCAGTCTTTTACCTGTGGATCAGTCCAGGATTGCATGCTCCCTCCCTCTTTGTCATTCAGCCTTACTTAATGTTATGCTTCTTGTGTGGCCCAGGTACCACCTCCTGCAGATGGCACTGAGGAAGTGGCTGTCATCCGGCTTTCCGGTGGCCAAGGGAAGATAGATGAGAAGAAGCAGGTTCTTATTGAGAAGGCTAGAACCGGTACTTTTATTCAGACAGACAAGGCCATTTACAGTCCAGGACAAGAGGGTAAGGAGACAGTAGCCCTTTATTCTTGTTTGCTTGATGTAATGTAATACATGATTAGGGCAACGGCAGAAGTGGGCATAGATCTACTTGAGCACTCCTGAAGTCTGCATGTCGTGGTCTTTGAAATTTAAGGAGGCCCATTCAGAAAGAGCTCAGTCATGTCTTTGTGGTCAGTCTAGCTACTTCTCTTAAAGGATAGCCTGCTACTTAAGGTACTGACCTGACCTATTGTTCAGGGCAGAGGGGATATTCTGCTGTAAATCTGTTTTTTGCATTTATATACTAGAAGAAGCAAATGCTTCCACACTCATGTTAAATAATTGTTACAGTAATCTGTGGGTTTTTGCTTTAAATTGAACTAATAGAGCATGGAGAAAAATGACAAGGTATTTGGAATGAAAGTGATTACATTATTAGAATAAAATATAAACTATAGTGATTATTCTGTTTGAATAATTATTCATTGAATAAACCGTACTGGCCTGTTTCACATATGCAAAACTAAATCATAGTAGAGGTAAGAACATTTAGATTTTCTTCCAGTACTTGCCAAAAATACACTTCATTGCTAGTTATATCTATCTCTCAAACTCACTTTTGTTCTTCATATATATATTATGCTATCCATCATTAATTAGTATGTTGTTTGTATGAAAGGAAAAGTGATAGCAAGAAGGGTAAGAATTCATGGAATATGAACACTGGATGAGAAAACAGAACTGAACCCTAGATAAATTCCCCAAAGAAT